CAGATTCTAACTCAACATCAGGCCAAGATCCTGAAATTCCATGAGAGAAATGATATTTTCCTAAATGGATACAATCACAGGGTGATCTAAAAAGGATGATCCTTAGCAATAGATCCATTCTCCTTAAATTACCACCCCCCCCAAAAAAAAACATAAACTCTGTATTTGAACAGTAGTAGGTACTTGCAAGGATTTATATAGCTATAATAATGTTCTGACTGCAGTATATTGTATACCATTGTTACACTAGCTTTATCTCAAAGGAAACAGACCTCAACCATAAATCTTTTCCCTATCCTAGACAGAACTCCCCAGGAATAGACAAGCACTCCTTAGTAAGATGACAATGGGAGAATCACTCCTTAGAATTATTCTTTGCTCTACCTCCCTACTCCTGCCTGCAGAAACTTGGATGAATAAATCAATGGAGAGGAGGAGCTAGCTGCCATCTTCATGTGAATTTTATATAGCTGGGTCATTAAATATTTTTCCCTCTCCACTGACAATTATCATTGTCCCAAACTGCTCCCCTGTGAAAAACATTCAGAAGAGTCAGAGTGAATTGGTGGCCAGGGAGGGGTAAATGGGAGACGAAGTAGGTGCTGTAGAAATCCAAGTACAATTGTCCGTTGAAGCCAATAATTAAACCAGAATGAACATCTTTGGCTATTTCTGACAAAATCTATTTTACTGGGGAAAAATTATCTATGTCCCCTTTTGCCTACTAGCCTACTGGTTCAAGAATATTCTGGGCCCACCAACATTTGAATTTTCAAGGAAGTGTTCTAAGTGCTACAATTTGTAAATCAATTAGCCTAGTCTACTTTTTTTAAAAAAAAAGATTTATTTTTTTTTATTGCAAAATCAGATACAGAGAGGAGGAGAGACAGAGAGGAAGAGCTTCTGCCTGCTGATTCACTCCCTATGTGGCTGCAATAGCTGGAACTGATCCAAACCAAAGTCAGGATCCAGGAATTTCCTCCAGGTCTCCCATGCAGGTACAGGGTCCCAAGGCTTTGGGTGGTCCTCGACTGCTTTCCCAGGCCACAAGCAGGGAGCTGGATGGGAAGTGGGGTTGGCAGAATTAGAACTGGTGCCCATATAGGATCCTAGCACATTCAAGGTAATAGTGAAAATGTGGAAATAAACCTAAATATCCATTAGTTGGGGTAAAGTGGTATGTGCGTGTGTGTGTGTATGTGTGCGTGTGTGTGCATTCAGCATAAAACAGAAGTCCTGTCATATAAGCCAGCATGGATCAATTTAAAAGGCTTTGTGTGTTAAGTGAAACAGCCCAGTCACAAAAGGTCAGATATAGCATCATTCCACTTCTATAAGGTATCTAAGTTCGTCTGACTCACAGAACTAGAAAGTAGGTTTGTAGTTCCAGGATCTGCATGGAGGGAGAGATGTGGTACCGCTGTTCAGGGTGTGGAGTTTCTTGCATGAAAGTTGGAAAGTTCTAGAGATGTACAACAATGTACATCAGATTAATAGCATTGTACTGAACACAGAAACACCTGCTACATGGGCAGATCTCACATTTTGTGTGGTTTTTTGCCACCGCGAGAAAGGATGTACACCTTGTCTTTTCCTGGTACAAGGATCCCATAGGTCTCAGTCATGGCTAGAATGTGATCATCTTGTGCCAAGAGAATGCATAGACAGCTCTGGGATCTCAAAGGGGTTGTTGGCTCTGAAGGGAACTAGAGGCACTGCTAGGAGGTAACTACATTCAAATCTCAGTTTACAAAAGGTCCAGCTGAGGAAGTTAACCAAAAACTGTGCAGGGAGGAGCTGCTGTTTCAGTCTTCCTATTTCCCAAACCATGAACTAGGCAACAAAGTTTTCATGCTGCAAAGATTCTGGAGGATATTTTTAAATGTGCACCCCGCCTGGCTGTAACATCTGTCCCTGTGATGTTTCTGCTGATCAGTCCCTTGTACACCTCCTCTGTCTGCTCCTGTGTAGATCCTGTGCTACTCTTGTTGACTTTTAAATATTAACACAGTGTCAGAAGCACTAGCATAATCCAGGATTCCACCCAATTCCCCTTTCTTCCCATTCAAATCTCCCTTGGTAAGATTATCTACTCCAAATGGCTTCCGTTATAATGCAAATGTATATAATCATTCACAACCACCTTTTCTTAAGTAGTTTCCTATTTCTACCACAAAACTGGACTTTCTGCTTCTTCCCACAGGCAAGTTAACTTATTTGAAAGGGAATTAGTTATCTATCCAGCCTTGTAGAGAAGTGGGTAAAAGCCAACCTCTGCGATGCCAGCATCCCATATGGTTCAACTCCTGGCTGCTCCACTTCCAATCCACCTTCCAGCTAATACAACTACATACTACATTTTGGTACTTGCAAGAAGTGACCACAGGCTTCACAAGCTGCAGAAGAACTTCGGAGATCATTGAATGCAACAGCTTTTATTTCAAGGAGGAGTGCTAGCCTGGTTAAAATCACACAGCTAATTCATAGCAACATCAACTTAGAATTCAGGATTCCCAACTGTACCACCAGATATTCTTTCCACTATATAATCATGTGCCCATTAACTGGACGAATGAGATACCTGCTAGCAGCCGTGATATTTCCCAGCAAAGAAACAACATGCTCATGCCATGCTGTGTTCACAGAGTCTCCTCCTACACTGCATGCACAAGAGAGTGGGTAAATTAGGTTCTGCTGTAATGATGCAAAGCTTCAACTGGGAAGTGCAACCGGACAGCATTGTGGATTACGGCTCAGAATGAACAAAAGTCTGTTACAGGCTAGCTCAGTGCTTGCTTTCAGAGTAGGGGTGCAAGGATTTCTACTTTTTCCTTACTAAAGTGGTTGCATATGTATTATTTAATCTTAGTCTCTCAACAGGCCTGGGAGGTAAGAAAGTCAAGGCTTGTTCGTGAAAGTTTACAGATGAAGTAAATGAGACTGGAAAGAGTTAGCTCAGTGATTTGCCCAAGGTCACCCATCTAGTTCGTGACAAGGCCACAGCTCAGTTGTGTGTCTCTTGCTTTCAAATCTCTTTCCTCTCGTCTAGACACATAATTCTAGTAGTGCTTGAGTGATGACTACATATCCTGAAAGGAAGTTTTACAGATGCCAACATGTTAGGGTTCCCCTATGCTGTTTCTCACACGGGTCTTATCCACCTCATCCCCCGCCCCCCTAAGAAAAAAAAAAAAAAGAAATTTAAAAAGCTCAGTGTTAAGGCAAGACAGAGAAAAAGAATGCTACACTGCAGGGTGACTCATAACGGGGGATCAACAAGGTCAGGTGCAATTTTTGTCAATTTTCTGCTTTCTCCTAGGAGAAAGTGCAAAACCATGAACGTGCTCAAAGTGGACTTTGGTGGATCTAAAAGCCTAACAGATCAAGGATGGTTTCCTAACTGACTCATCTCTGGGGACTTTAGAAAGGTAGCCTGTGAACACCGGAGCTGCCAATTGCTGGAACAAAAGTCAGGTGAGCATCACAGAGTGCAAGGTGGTGGTGGTGGTGGTGGGAGCTGAAAAGTGGGGGTAGTGTGGGGGAGGGGAGGCGGGGATGAGGAGGAAATGGAAGCAGATAGTGGATAATTCAACGGCAGGAAGCTGGCTGTGGAAGGAAGACGCTGACAAGCACAGAAGGCCAGACAAGAAAGAGAAGGAATGTTTTGTGGAGTCCCAAGTGTGTTGTCAACAATTTTGCTGTTAGCATAGGCTCTTGAAAACCCCACTGCCTGCATGTGGTTCCAGAGAAGTCATCTGGGGGTGGGGGCAAGAAGGCAACCTGCTCCCTCAAGCAAAGTCGAGAAAACAGCTGCAGACTTAGTAACAAATCCACTGTTCAAATCTGTGATTGTGACTACTGGATTTGCTCTAAAGAGGCCAGCTCAGAATAATAATAATAATAATAATAATAATAATAATAATAATACATGCTCAAGCATGAGCCCAATGAGAGGGCAAGGTTTTGGGCCCCGACTCAAAGCGGACTCTTCCAAAGGCGCCACAGGAACTGGCCCGCTTCTCAATGGATGCACTCTCCTGTAGGTTTGTTTGGAAACAATACTGCTAGTCATAAAGTTGGCTGGTTCCCGACTTGGTCATCTCAGTGGGGCAAGTGCAAGGCTGTGCCAGGAACTCCAGATGAGTGCAGTGTGCATAAGCCCAATGCTACCCCGAGATGCCAGCACACAGCCAGGGTGCGGCTGAGCCCGGGGAAGAGTGCATCCTCAAAGTGCTTCTTTATTGAAACTCTGCTCCGGGGCACTGTTTCAGGATGACCCCACACACCTAGCGTGCGGGCGCACACACAGACACACACACAGCAGCCTGTACACACAGCCGCCCTGTGTTCCCTGGCCTGCTTACTTTACTTTCCAGCCCTCTAGGCAACGTCCACAAATTAGCAGCCTTGTAACCCTCCCAGGATCCGGTTCTCGGGACCTTCAGAAGAAAGAGGCGCTCACAGTAACAGGCACGCGCTCATCAGGAAACCAGCTTTGCAGCCCACTGGGCCACGCGGGCCATCCACACTAAAGACTTTCACCTCCCCTCGCCTCCGCGGGCTGCAGGGGCGGGGAAGCCGGCAGTAAAGAGGAGGACCAAAGAGGGGGCCTGCTTGAATGAAACAATGTAACAATTGATGGGAGGCCTCGCCTCGCTCCCACTCCCCAGCGATCCTATAGGCGCAGTCCCAGCGGCTGCCCCTCCCGATTGCTCCGTTTTCTTGTCCGTTACGCGCTACCCGTCCGCCTAGCTTCTTTCTTTCCTTTCCTTTCCTTTTTTTTTTCTCCCTTCTCTTCCCCCCCTCTCCCCCTCTCTGCAGCTCCGTGTCATTTCCTCCTTGCGCTCCCTCACGGCCCGAGCTGCAGCCGGGAGAGTGGGCGGAGCGGGGCGGTGCGGGGCGGCGTAGCGCTGGAGGGCGATGGTGGCGGAGTTGCTGGGGGCGGAGGCAACGTAGCCCCTGCAGAAAAGGAGCCCGGCGGCGCCGGAGCCGAGCCGAGGATGGAGAACCGGCCGGGGTCCTTCCAGTACGTCCCGGTGCAGCTGCAAGGGGGGGCACCCTGGGGCTTCACCCTTAAAGGGGGTCTGGAGCACTGCGAGCCGCTCACGGTGTCTAAGGTAAGGACCCGCCGCTGTGTCTTAACAGGCGCCCAACTTTGAATGGGCAAAACGGGGCACAGGCTGCCGCAAGACGGGGCCTTCACGCCAACTTTGCAACTTAGCCCCTGTGAGCAGCGCCAAGGGGTCTTGCCACCAGCCCGTAGCGGATACAGACACCCACTAAGGCTGGCGGGAGCACAGGCGAGAGAGCAGGGTTTGCCCTGGGCTAGAGCCTCGCGTACAGACGCGCAGGGCAGGGCGCGGGGGCAGCCTGTGCGGCGAGCAGCCGGGCAGCTATTCTACTCCGTTTGCGCCGGAGGAAGTGGCCGCTGTCGGGGGGTGGGGGTGCTCCTTGGAGGCCCCTGCGACCTTGCGGGACCCTGAGGGGCTGAAGGGACCGGCAAGTCGGTTTGGCAGCTCTCTTGGCAGCACTGGCCCCTGTATGGACCCGCCGGGTCGGCCCGCCCGGGCAGGTTGCAAGACGAAGGGTCTGGTGTGGGAATGGAGGCGAGACCTAGGTGGCTTCTTTAGGCAGCCTCACTTCCCACGGCCGGACGCGCGCACATCCATTCAGCTCGCGGGGCGTTCCTGCTGCCGGCTCGGCCCGGCCTTTCCGTCCCCGTGGAGTCCTGCCCCGCGCCGGCGAGATTTCCTGCACGTTGAAAAGTGTGGAGGAAACTTTTGCGCCATGGAGCGCAGCTGCGCCGGAGCCGCCGCCGCCGGGGTTTGTTTGTTTTAGGAGGCTGTGATCCAGTGGAAGCCAAGTTGCTGCACAGGACAGGGGAGAAGAACTCCGATCCCCCAAAAGCGAGCTGACCCCGGTAGGGGTGAGGTTAGGGGCTGGAGGCAGCTGGAAATGTTCCTGGTAGGAGCGACTTGTGGGGCGACTCACCTTGAGGCGCCACATTGCCGCGGGAAGGAACTTCACCAGAAGTTTATCCCATCTGTTGTTGTTTTACTTTCTTTGAAATATTCAAAATCCGAGAGGTTTTCTTTTTCCTGATGCACTCAAGTTCCAGTTGAGGATGTAGATGTGGGTTGGGCTGGACATCGAAAGATGTGGCTTCTCAGCAGGGGACACATGTCACTGTAGTTTTTGGCTCTTAATTTGGGCACTTCTCAGCAGGGGGTTGGCTAATCCTCCCCCTCCACCTCCAACCACAGGAACCTATACTGCTTTCCCTTGCCTTGGAGCTGCTGCTAGTGAAGTGTAGCCGTCCTTTAGGCCTTGGGGCCCACACTCTCAGCAGCTCTGGGAAGATTGCCTTGAGGCGTACCCCGCAGCCCAGCTCTCTGAGGTCCCTTAAGGCCACATCTTGATGGTGCTGCTGGGGGTGGGGGGGAGGTTGCTGGCAAGGCCTCCTGGGGTCTTTAGTCTCCTCAAACCAGCCCAGATCTTTTCGCCCAGCACCTCTCCCCTGGCTTCTTTGCCAGCCTAAGACGTCTTTGTCCCCCATCATCACACCCCCGTGCTAAGGCACTCCGTCCACTCTTCTCTGAATAAGAGAGCACTACTTTAAAGAAAGAAAGTTCCCCCAGGACCCCTGGGGAGAGGGGAATCTTGGCCTTAGGGTTTTTTCTACTCCAACTCCTGCTTTCCCTCCTCTCTCCACCAAGGTCACAGCAGGCTCCTCCGCAGCCCTCCTTGGTCTCGCAGTTCCTCCCTTGCTAGTCCTCCTCCAGACACCCCCAGGACTGCGGCAGTCAGCCTAGACAAGCAGCTTTGGAAAAGGTCATTTTTCAACTCTGCCTAGGGCTGACCCAGCCTGAGACGCACCCTGGAGTGTGCTGGCTGCTGTGCTCCCTCATTCTATTGTGAGGAGCGTGCAAGAGCATGACAGGGGGTGTGACTGTGTATGGGGCAGCCAGCAATTTGTGGTCGGGCTGGGGGATTGTTTGAGTGTGGATGAGGGTTTGCTTGGCCGAGCTGTTGAGGAAGTGTGTCACGAGTTGGGAGACAGGGTGCCTTTTAATGATTCCCTTTCCACTGAGTATACACTTGACCCTTGCTGTAGGGAGGCTCATTATTACCCACATTTGGATATGCCCCCGGGAGAGGGTGGTAAAATGATTTCTCCCATCTCTTCCAAGTAGCCTGGCTCCTTCCAGTAACAGCGAGCTGTAACCTGGTGAGCCCGCACATTATACAGAGGGATCATAGTCCTTTTTTCAAGAATAATGTTTTTGCCTGTGTTTTTTCTTCTTGAGAAGACACTCTTTTGCCTATTTTATTTGTCTTTTTTATTATTATTATTTTTCATCTTAGTTTTTTTTTTTTTTGTGCTTCAGAAAACTACAGTTCTCTTTCAAGCAGCCCTGAGTGTGTACACACTGCTAAAGCTTCCTTGGCAAGAAGTCGAAGGCGAATTGAATCAGCAGATGGAGAACTTGAGGTCGAATCGTCATTCTGCCATTATCTAGTCAGGAAGCCTGAGCCCTTCTTAGAGCCAGGCATCCCCATGCCAGACATGGGGTTCAAGTGGCTCAGTGTCCAATGATGCCATGTGAGTCTAGTAGCTGATTCTGGTGCTAGCTTTGGCCCTCTTCTCCCCAAGAGGTCTGTGGAAAAAGATGAGGCTTTGTTCCACTTGTGTCTGTTTGCTAATGATAACAATGTATTCCACATCCCTTATTTCTGTAGCCTCTTGCAGCCATACTGTGCGGCAGTTAGAGCAGGAAGGGCATTGAGGGAAAAACTGATGCTGTGGTGCGTTCAGCATATCATCCTGTGAGTCAGTGGGAGGCTTCAAGTCCATTGCGTTTGTTTACTTCTCCAAGAGCTTCTGATTCCTCTGGTAGTGCTACAGTTTTGGGAAGGAGCATAAGACAGGGATGTGTTCAGCCTCCTCTACCTTGGGCACCAGTGACACTCCTTGTCAGCCTGTGGCTTCTGACAGTTGAGGACTGTTTATGAACTCACATCACTTACCGTGATCTTGGATTTGGCATAGACAGGGGCAAGAACCATTGTGGAAAATGGCAAAAAAAAAAAAAAAAAAAAAGGCAATTTTGGTCAGAGGTAATGGAGGTACCTTGTGGAGCTGGGGAGTGGAAAATTTTAAGATGAGGTGATTAGCAGGAGATGTGAAAGTCTAGATCATATTTGCCATGGGAGAAGTTTTGGTTTAAAAAAAAAAAAAAACCCAACCAAACAAAATGATCAGGTTGAGGAAATGAACCATTCCCACTAGATCCTATAGTGTCCTCAAATGTGGGATTTCAGCTGCTGCTTTACAGGGAGCCATGTAGTCCTCTCCTGGAAATCAACTGATATGGTAAGCGATGGTTTGTAATTTCTTCCGTACATTCTGTTAGTCCACTGAGGTCATGATAACAAGTGAAAGAAACAGGACCCACAAGGGAATCGGGCCCATGACCTGGACCTTAATTCCTTTGCTTGGCATCTTTCACTACCTCGTTGACTCAGGGAACCTCTCTGTGTGGAACAGGGATCCCTTCTAATCAAATGTCTCCATTTTTCTAATTGGAGAAACCCTCCCTTCACTCATTCCCCCCCAACCCATCCAGCATAGACAGCTATACATGAAATGGACTCCATGCTTTGGGAACAGGTGATCTTTCCAAGGTTTTGGCAGCAATGATTCTGTATCATCCAGGGACTCTCAGAGGCCCAGAACATCAGGGTGTATCTTTGTGGGGATGTGAGGCGGAGGGGCAGTGCTGAACCGTAGTGTGAGCTGTCCATGCTCATTTTATATTCATGGAAATATACCCTGAGTTTGAGAGAGTGTGGAGAAAAAGAAAGAATGGAGACCAGTGTGGGGACGCAGGAAAAGGGGAAGGAGGATCATTGGAGGGAGCGGACAGGGCAAACCTAGGCTCACCCCACGCATTTGCTCTTCTCCTGGCCCACTTTCAGTGAAGCAAGTGGCCAGCAGTCCTGGAACAAAGTTGGATGGCAGAGGGGAGTGGCCTGCAGGAGAAAGAAGCTTTGCCTCCCCACACTTAAATGTGCACTGGTGTGGCCTTATCATTTTACTACCTCTGGACCCAAGTCACTCTTTGTAAAAGTGGAGGTAGGCATACCTCCTTCGTCGTTATTAGCACAGATGATGTGAGAATGGAAACTCTGAGACTGTTTGCTGTCCTTAGCCTCAGACAGTGGCCGAGCAAGCTCTTTAAGCTGATTTGAGCCCTTCTCTCATCCCCACTCTGACCTTATTTTGAGAAGTACACAAAGAAGCAGTTAAGACTTGGACAGGAACTGGATAGAGGCAGACTGAGGCTGTCTCGTGACTGGCAGTCAATTTGGCTGCAATTTTGAGTTCTTGTTGGCTTCATAGGTGGTGTTATACGAGCAATGATGATTCCCCGTGAGACCTTTGTGGTGGAGTTGTAACAGCTAAGCACCTGGCCTCACAAAGAGGCCTTCATGGGGTGTGCATGAATGCAGCCTGGGGTCTGCCTCTAAAATCAGCAACATTATCTGCAGCATCAGCCCCTCCCTACCGCCCCCCTTCCAGCTGCTGCCATCTTCCCCAAAGTAGAGAGCTTTTTGGAACATGAGGCAGGCATCTATACAGACAAAGAAGATTGCAGGGAGGGGGAGTTGCTGGTAATCTTTAGATGAGCAGTAAGGACATAGTACTTTTGGTCCTATTGGGTTGTCAAAATGCATCTGTAGAGATCTACACACACGCACACTGAAGTGCAAACCACCACGCGTGTTGTTTGGAGGGTCTTCTCCAAAACCTCAGACAATGAAAATAATTCCACTGCAACTGGAAGACACATGAGCCTTGTCCCTTTACACGGTTAAAATTATTTTACCCTGTACTTTTCCCAATCACCTCCTTGGGAATTTCTTTGGAAAAGAAGAAAAAGAGAGAGAGGGATAGAGACTTGGAGTAGAGTAGAGAGCGGTAGTTACCAAGTGATTATCCAGAGGGAACATCATGATTTGTTATAGTTAGGCTCTTCCAGAATCAAGGGGGTAAAAGATGCTGAGCCATCTGTGCCAAGTGAATGAAGAACAGCTGAGATTATGAGAAGTGCTG